CTGTATATGAAAACATTTCGATCGTGCAAAATAAGAGAGCCTTAAAAATATTAAATGTTATATTAAGTGAAAAGCATTTTCATCTCTCAATTTGCCCTATGTATGCTTTGTATGTTTGTATGTCTTGTACTTAGGGAAACTTCCATCACTATTGGGTTTACGCTGCACCAAATTCTAATCCTAAAATCAATCCTGGAAAGTTGGATTAAAAATTACAAGTCCCTGCAGAGTTAGGAGAAAAAGGAAATTTTTACATTTGCTTCATAAACTTCACAGCTGAAATTTATATTCTCTATAGTATTGCATTTCACTTTGTTTTCAAAGAGGATTTTCTATTAGCAGTTGGCAACTTTTAAATTATTTGGCATCCTGTGCCATTTTACATTCTTAAACTATGGAAAATCCCAATTGTTTAGTCCAGGAATTTTCCTTATGCATAGCATTTCACTACTTCCATAGCAAACCACACTGTAATCACAAAAATGCCTACACACAAAAGTCAGATAAACTTCATCAGAAGGTTTGGTTGCAGTCATGGTCAGCCTTCTTACTGTGTAGCTGCAGCTCATCTTTAATTCCTCCACTTGCCTCTGCAAGTATCTCTCCCTCTACAGACAGTGAAAATTTCTGTTCCTTGCAGGTTGAGTTTGCCCAAATTCTGACCTCAGAGAGATAAAAACATCTCTTAACTATGTCCGTTAAGTGTTGGCTACTTCATACAGTTGAGCTGTTCTCTGATGCTATTATGTTCAATTTTTCTGGTTCAGGCAACTACTTGTCACTAGATGTGAATAATACAAATGAAGTACAAAGGAAGGCAAATGCTATATATATAAAAATATAGAACTAAAATTAGAAATAGGACTTCATATAGTAAAACACCACACTTGCAATTTTAAAAAAGATTTAGGAAAATCTATCTTTTCATTAGTAAAACCACTGCAAAGGAGAAGCTTTCAAGAAAAAGGCAAGAATGAAAGCCACAAATAAACCACGTCAGCAACAGAGTAACTCCAGAATCCTAAACTCTACACGTTGGGCTAATGTTCAGCACAGAATTTTTACCATGGTGCTACACAAGCATTTTGATCATGGTTGTCCTGCATGGTTTTACATGGAAGTATCATCACCTTCATGTAAGATGTGCCATCTTAATGAAGACAACATTAATGAATATTTGATGTTTTTCTGCTAAGAAAGTAAGAGTTCATTTCTTAATCTTCATTCTCCAAAAGCCACATTAGAAATATTACACCTAATTTTTGTTTCAATGGACTAGATATACTGGTAGCACTTAAAAAAATGTTTGATCATCAACAGCAAACTACTCTGCAAATATAGAAATTCTACATATTTGAAATCCTTTTAAATACTACTTCTGAAAATTTTTTGGCTGGTCACTCCAAACTGCATAACAGCTCACTGAGAGGAACAGCACAACCTCATCAGCATACGGAGTCCAGTTTTGACTTTTAAAATGTCATAACCAACTTAAATTTCTTAAACAAGTTATGTTGTTGTCATTATATTCAATGGAGATCTTTAAAACCCTTTTTTAAAGCCTTGTAATTTGTTACAATAAGTGAATCAACGGACTAGTAAATCAGTTCTTTGTAAAGAAAAAAAGGGAAGAGGTGCAACATCTAAAAGCAACTAAACATTTCTAAAAAAAAAGGTATTTTTGTCCCTTAGCTACATTTTCTCCTCCCCACTTCCAGCACTTTTTTTTTATCTGCTATAATAGACATTTCCCAAAAAAAGGACTTGCATTTTTTGTTAACTTACTTCAGTATTCTGCTTATAGTGAAATATGTTTACTGTATTAAGACCATCTTTTTCTTTACATATAAACGCACATATGGGGAGCCAAGAACCCAAAAGACAGAAAATATCTACTGAATCATGTACATTTAAGAATTAATTGCGAAGAAACATTTTAAAATAACTTTCATCCTAGTGATCCTCATACAGTTCTGACTCCCTGTAAAGCTGTATGTGTATCTGCTAGTTATATTAAAATGCAGAATTAAATAATGCTTAGTATAGAAATGTGTCTATAAACAGTTGGATTTGATGATCTTAAAGATCTTTTCCAACCAAAATTATTCTATGGTTCTATTTCTAGGTTTGCCTATACAGTTTAAAATGATTGTTCAGTCTGAGCATTTTAAGTAAGCCCCAGTTTTATTTTAAAAAGAGTAAAGGTGAAAAATTGAGTTTTCTGGATAACGTAATAGTCCATTTTATCCCCAAGGAAGCATTTCATTAATATTGTATTTTCCACACAATAGGGGAGAGTAAAATAAATGGTGTATGAACATGACAATATCTGTGACAAAAATTCCACAGGTTATTAGGTTTGAAACAGCCAACATATCTGGGATGACAGAAATAATTAAAATAGAAAATAGTAATTTTCCAACAAATTTAATACCACTATATTATATACTTTGTTATCTACACACTGGAAAACTGGTAACATATGAAAAAGATTTCAAAATCCAAGAAGTAGCAAAATCCATCTATTTCTAATAATGTGTGAATTTCTTACAGTGATCAGTACTTTATGGAATGTATATGAAAAGTAGAGTTTTGATCATGAATTTGCACTCACAAGTTCAGTATCTTATTTGAATTAATTATTATTTAAATAAATAAACCAAACCACGTATCTGTAGGAGTACCAAAAAATTGTAAAAGGTAAATAATGCATTCCCACTCAAAGAACTGATAGGCAGGGGCACATCTTACATAAGAAAAACGTATCAATTTATGTAACTGCCACTATGAATTTTTAAACACTATTTTCTGTTGCACCTATAAGAAAAATACTCTGTTTCTTCTTACAGAAGAGTAATTTTTCACATTTATTTCTGGTAAGAAATAAACAAAAATACTTTAAGTCTAAATGAAATCAAGTTATCTACCCATAAATAGGATAATTTCAATGCTAGTAATGATGTCCTATGTTCTCATTAAAATAAGAAGTCCATCTCTTCAAGGAACTCTCTTTCGAGTTGCACTTTCTGTATTTGTTCATCTTGTTCATGCCCACACTGCTCATGCCTGTCACTCTTCTCTCTACAACTCAAGAACCTGTATTTTTTCTTATTACAGCTAGGGTAGCCTGTGGTCATTGCCCATTCTTTGAACATTCTTACTAAAAAACTTAAACACACTTCCTCACCATACTTTCAGTCTTTGGAGTAATTTAAAAATGGGAAGTATGAAATTTTATGTAAAACATAAGCATCTTGTTTGTGTAATTGTGTCGACCTCTTCTTTTTCTGTATGTCCATATTCTTAATCTGGTAAGATTCTGCAAATACTCACTTTGACTATATAGTCAATGAAAACAACCTTCAGCTATTCCTGCTACCCATCTATGTGCCTTCTTAACATTTACCATTAAATCTTTTCTGCTGAACAGTAATAATATGTTTTTCAGCAGGTTCACCTACTGCACAAACACAAACAGATATTAGTTTAGGAAAGAGATGAAATTCAGAAGTGCTGGAATTAAATTAAATTTAAGAATTAACATATTACTGTATGGGTGAAAAGTGAATAACAAACTTATTTTAAAATACAGCAGTCATAATTACACTACACTCATTCTTAAAGCTTAGCTCCCTGTCTTTTCTAAAAGTATATGGCGTATTAACCAAAATAACCAAAGTAAAAACTGCAAAACCAAACCAAGAGAACAGGTAACACAGCTGGTGAAATTTAAATGTATTCCTCTGAGTGCCTTAAGAGACAAGCGTTTTCCTTGCAACGTAACACGTATTTTTCTAATGGCTTTAGCATTAATTCTATTACATGTATTAGTAAAAATGAGGCACTAGATCAAAAGTTCATCTACCCACCTAGACTCCTGTAATCACTTTGCAAGTAACAAGTATGTTAAAGAACATAGTAACAAAAAAACAACAGCACACTGAAACAAAAAAATTGAGCTATATTATTTTGCTAAACTTTTAGTTTTACAGTATTTCCCTTCACATCTGAACAGTAATAAGCTCTGTAAAGCTGAATAAACTATGTATCACAAGAAAATATATTATGCAATTTTTTTTTTTTTTTTAAGGAACCCTAAGCACTGTAACAGTATTTTTTAAAGTATTTGCAGCAGAAATTTGAATTCTGGTTTTGACAGAACCAGATAAAAACAAAAAAGGAGACAAAACATAAAATGTAGAAGTATTTGCTTCATCTCTTTATCAGTTGAACTATATAAAGCAATCAATTCTTGTATTCATATTTAAAATCTCTGTGAGCACCTACGGACAAGGCATATAATATAATCAAAAAAGAGAAACACCATAGACATTGCTGCCAATTTATTAAATGTGCAACTTGACTTTGAAATTTATTGGTTATTCAATTTTTTGGCTATTTGGAACAAAAGTCAAAGCCTTTTATTATTATTATGACTTGAAATAGTTCAGTGAAACTTGAAATACTTCCATATATCTCAGGAAGACAAATTCTACATCTTGCAAGCAAGAAAAATTCCAAGACTTCAAAACCAAAATGAAGCCAAAATAAATTCTTATCTGCCTAACATTAGTTCATACCCACAAATCTTCCTTTGAATAGCATTCACACTTTTTAAAACAAGTTGTGTAATACACAAGATTTTTATGAAACTCCACTGACTTGGAAAGACTAACTCATAAACAGTAAATAATAAATAGCAAATAATTAAAGTCAAACAAATAATACTAGAAATATCAATTAAGAAAGAGTGTAGTTAGCATTCACTGTAGTATTTAAACAGAGTTACCAAAACCTTGGTAACTGCTCATGGCAGGGGATTTGGGACTAGATTATTAAGGTCCCCTTCCAACCCAGACCATTCTATCATTCTGTGAAAACAAAAAACATTACTAGACCAACAACATATTTAAACATCAGCAATAAATGAAAGAGATGTCTTTAACAGTGCCTAAGAAGTTGTATTTCAGATAATTAAGAACAATGGCATTATATAGTACCTTCCATTGCCCTTTTAAAGAAGACTTTACAACTTCCACAGGTAAGTACTCCATAGTGGCAACCAGAAGCCTCATCACCACAGATGAGACAAATCTTCTGGGGTAGCGATTCAAAACCGTACTGAGAACTTTGGGTGGTTTCTGTATCTGGCCTTCAAAAGAAAAAATAGTTAAGAGAAATTAAATACCCAGTTTTGCAACAACTAATACCTTACCTGTATTAGTTTGGTTTATGCTGAAAGCTTCCTTTTTGAATTTGCAAGCTACTGAAGGATAAGAAGAAAATAAAGTATGACTGCCTGTCTGCTTAAGGGTTTATGTCTATTGGGGTGAAAGGCACATTTGTAACATTTGAGTAGTCAATAAACAGAAAAGTAGCAGGGAAAAACAGCATAGTACTATTTTAATCCATTTTATCTAAAAAAGGTTCAATCTAGGAATTCTTTGTTGAAATGTTCATCTTCTTCCGACCAACAACTCATGAGTAAAGTCAGACTGACTGATACTCTTTTTTCCTGTAGATAGAATGGTACAGAGACAGAATCAAACAGAAGCCAATTGAATTTCAATAGCCCCTTTCACATGGGTAATTAAGTTTCACCTTAGCTAGAAAAATCTTTAATATTTGTTGCCTCCCACCCAGGAATATTCTCATCAATACCTATGAAGGGCACACTGAAAAAAGCAGAAAGTACTTCCAAATTTGTCTCCACTAAAAGATGCAAACCTACATACTTGAACATTATATTTACAACAATCAATTATTTCTGTTGAAACTGCAGCATTGCATATACTTATTTTTGCACACATTTCTAGGCAATGCACAACATCTTGGCATCATAGTAAGCCGATTTATTCTAACTAATCACTATGCCAGTGTTTGTTTTTCATTTGAAATTAAATGGACGGACTTTTTTCCAAATTGGGGATAATATTTTTCAGAATATCTAGGCATTTATGAATGTTGTCTCGCTGACAGGACAGCCTGGAGAACACTCTTCTCCCCCACCCGGGAGCCGGTCACCTGCTCAGACATCAGATGGCACTGAACCACCACAGAGACAAAACCTTCATTCTGCCTGAGCTTCATCGTGCCAAAATGATGCGAGAGGTGCCCGCTGCAAAGTTAACGCTGTGCTGGCAAAGTTAACACACCGACCTGGGACACCCAGACGTCCACAAGAACACAGAAAACGGAAACGCAGCTGCAGTTACAGCCTAAAAAGTCAAACGGGGGGACTTTTAACTTCGCCCGACTTTCTCTCGACACCTTCCCGAAGCCCCTCCAAGCGCCAGCCCCGACCCCATGCGCAGCCGCCCCTCCTGAGGAGAAACCGCGGGGCGGCGCCGGCACG